GATAAATTTCCTATCCCGACAATCGAGGAGCTCTTTGATGAATTAGGGGGGAAACCATATTTACAAAGCTTGATCTTCGGGCTGGATATCATCAAATCCGTGTTCACGAAAACGATATCTACAAGACCGCATTTCGCACTCATGAAGGGCATTATGAATTTTTGGTTATGTCATTTGGTTTAACCAATGCTCCATCCACTTTTCAAGCCATTATGAATACTGTCTTGCGCCCTTTTCTTCACAATTGTGTGGTTGTGTTTTTCGATGATATCTTGGTTTATAGCAAATCAGAGGCTGAACATGCCTTGCATTTGCATCAGGTACTACAATGTTTGAAGAAACACCAATTCTTCATAAAGTTCTCTAAATGCAGTTTTGCGAGCCTGCAAGTCGACTACCTTGGCCATATTGTTGGCCCAGATGGACTTCGGGCAGAACCTGGTAAGATAACAGCCATGCTAGAGTGGCCTGAGCCGCGCACACTCACACATCTTCGAGGATTTTTGGGATTAACAGGATATTACCGTCGTTTCATCAGAGGTTATGCTGCCATCGCTGCCCCACTCACTGATCTCACTAAGAAAAATGCATTCTCCTGTTCTAATGATGCTCTCATAGCTTTCAATGCTTTAAAAGAGGCTATGACACAAGCACCTATTCTTCGTTTGCCGGATTTTTCCAAACCATTTATCATTGAAACGAACGCATCCAATTCGGGAGTTGGGGCCGTTTTAATGGAAGAAGGACACCCCGTGGCATTTTTTAGTAAGAAGTTGGGTCCTCGTCTTGAGTCTTCCTCCGCTTACAATAAAGAATTATTTGCCATCGTCGAGGCAGTTTATAAGTGGCGACAGTACCTTCTGGGTCACCCATTCATCATCCGGACCGACCAGAAAAGTCTTCGTGAATTGCTTCAACAAGTGATTCACACTCCAGAACAACATATTTACATTCGTAAATTGCTCGACTTTGATTTTCAAATTGAATACAAGGTAGGGAGTGCTAATAAGGCAGCAGATGCTCTATCGCAAGTTCATGAAGTGCACAGTAATAATGGTTCGAGTAGTGAATTTTTATCATTCATCAGTTTTCCTATTTCTCAGTTTCTGTTACAATTACAACAGGAAAACAATGACTTACCGGATCTCCAGGCCATGCACAAACAAGCACGCGAGAGTGGCTTATCTCCTCCATTTTCTATCCGTAATGATCTTCTTTTTCATCATAATAAATTGTATCTTAGCCCTAAACCAGCCCTCAAAGATCATCCGCTCTTAGAGTTTCATGCAACTCCAATGGCAGGACATGCAGGAGTTAAACGCACCCATGCCCGATTGGCTGCTAATTTTCACTGGCGAGAAATGCGCAAAGATGTTGAGCGTTTTGTGGCCACTTGTGTAACTTGGCAACATATTAAGACAATTACTCAAGCTCCTGGAGGACTGTTGCAGTCGTTGGATGTTCCATCACAGGTCTGGGAAGCTGTAACAATGGATTTTATTGTTGGATTACCCGTATCCCAAAGGTATTCTGTTATCATGGTGGTAGTTGACCGGCTCACTAAGTATGCTCACTTTGGTCCTTTGTTAAGCAACTTTACGGCAGTAAAAGCAGCTTCTGTATTCATGGATATCGTAGTCAAACATCATGGGTTTCCAGCATCCATAATTTCTGATCGTGATCCAATTTTTTTGTCAAAATTCTGGGAAACATTATTCACTTTCAGCGGTACCAAACTTAGTCATAGCAGCGCCTATCACCCTCAAACGGACGGTCAAACGGAGGTTGTTAATCGAGAGTTAGAGCAATATTTACGTGCTTTTGTGAGTGATAAACCCACAGTATGGATAAGTTATCTTACATGGGCTGAAATTTGTTATAATTCTCATTTTCATAGTAGTATCAAGGTGTCACCATTTCAAGCCTTGTATGGTCGTTTACCTCCTACTATTCCACCATATGTCCAGCATAGTACCCATTTAGAAGCTGTTGATGATATCTTAGTCGAGCGGGATTCTTTACTCCACACTCTTTGCCAGAATCTCCTTTCCACCAAGCAGCGAATGAAACAAAAAGCGGATCGCCATCGCCGGGAGCTTAACTTTGAGATAGGTGATTTAGTGTTGGTTCGTTTGCAACCTTACAGACAGATTTCAGTAGCTCACAGATTGTCCCAGAAACTTTCTAAGCGCTATTTTGGGCCATTTGCGGTACTAGAACGCATAGGTGCAGTAGCGTATCGCTTAGATCTTCCTGCTGAAAGTCGTATTCATCCGGTTTTTCATGTTTGTCTTCTTAAGCCTTTCCATGGGGCTCAGACTGATCAGGTTTACCCACTTCCAGCAGCTGCTATAGAAAATAAACCAGTCAGCAGTCCGTTAGCAATTTGTGCATAGCGTACTATTCTTCATAATGGTCACTCGGAAGATCAATTATTGATTCAATGGCGGGATGGTCTCCCTGAAGATGCTACCTGGGAATCCAAAGACTCTTTTTGCAAAACATATCCTGACTTTCACCTTGAGAACAAGGTGGGTTTTCCGGACGGCGGCAATGATACGCCAACGGAGGAAACAATATTGGAGACGAACCGGGAGTCATTACCTTTGAAAAGAGCAACCCGGTCAAGGAGAGCACCTGTTTGGATGGGAGATTACGTTCAATAAAGAGGAGTTTAATTAGATAGTTTACATCATTATTATTATTATTCATTTAGAATTACTATATTAGTTCAATAAGGTTTCTTTGTATCCTAGTTGTTCTAATCTACTTGTAGTTAGGATGCTATATAAGCCCAATACGGGTAGTTTTGACAATCTCAGGAAGAGTTTATTTAATAATAGCTTTTCATCTTTTAAATCCTTGGTGTTCTCTCTGTTTTCTACAAACACGGGCGTTTCAGTATATTAGATGATGAAGAGGTAAATATGCTAAAACATTAAACGTAGTATAAGATAAGAGATTATTTGATTCATACTCCTCTGTCATGTTAAGATTGCTCCATTTTTCTTTGAAAGAATGACAAAAGTAAGATAATGGGCTTTACGCTTCACAAAAATAAGACTTGATTCCCGTATGGACAAATAAGAGAGCAAAGAAAACTGCAGGGACCAAAATGCCCTCAAATCCTAAATTTTGCATCTCACTTCGTCTCTTAGGGGCCTTAGCATTGCAGAACTTACCCCCACAGCACTATTTGTCCGCTTCACAGGTCTCTCCTTCGAAGAACCCATCAACGTCGCCAACTGAAACATCTTCGCCGCCATCACCACGTGCCTCGCCGGACCTCGCCGGACCTCTCCATCGCCCTACACTACTCGATCTTCAATTTCTCATCCGGCAATCGCGAGGGCGGGGGTTCTGCACAAGGGTTTCGGAAAGAGCAGGGGGGCAGTGGCGGGAGTGGGGCAGTGGTTTGGGGGTGACTGGGTGAGGCGCAAGGATGAGAGGCTGGGGGAGGGGGGCTGGATCCAGGATGGGGCTAAGGTTCGGGGCTTTAGGCTGGGTCTGGATCTGGGTCGGGCTGAGGCTGGGGCTGGGGCTGGGCCGAGATGAGGTTGGGGCTGGGAAGGGGCTAGGTTGTGTCTGGGTCTTGGAATAGGGTTGGGGCTAGGTCTGGGCAGGTGGCAAGGCAGGGGCTGGTTGGGGTGCTAGGATGTCGGCCGGGGATGGGGAGGGCAGGTGAAGAGCAGCTGAGGCTGGGGAGGGGCAGGTGCAAACGGCGGGGTTGGGGAGGGGCAGGTGCAAGTGGCGGCGGTTACCGGACGAGTGGTGATAACTAGAACAGGTGGAGCAGCGGTTAATGGACGGACGGTAGTGACCGAAACGGGTGGGTCGGTGGTCATTGTAAGGGGACATTGCTCACTAGACAGACACACACGGGTCTCCGAACGAGTAAGCCTTGGTCATTGGATGGGCAGACGTTAGTCACTGAGCGGGAGTCACTATATTAATTGGTTACTGGACGGAAGTCACTATAGGGTTGGTCACTATCACGGTCTCGGCGGTGGTTGGGAGTGGTGGTTGACGTTGGTCACTATCGAACCGAGTAATGTAATTAGTACTATCTACATCTAGTAACTGTAACTGGACGGGTCCGGTAACTGTAACTAGATGACGGGTCAAGTAACTGTAACTGGATGTGTCGGATAACTGTAACTGGATGACGTGTCGGATAACTGTAACTGGATGGTGGTTCGGATAACTGTATTTGTCGAGCGAATAACCGTAACTGGTCGAACGAAAATTGTAATTTTGAATCTAATGCCTTGATAAATGTAAATGGGTGAGATATACGAGGTATAAAAGTCAACTCTGTTTTGGCTCCGGGAGATTTTGGAACAACAATGATACGTAGTACATACGTAATACTAGCAGTAATTCTTATTTAGTGATAGCAGTGTGTGCCGATTATTAATTAGAAATGGTATATTTGATATTTTGTCTTAAGTGATCACACACTTAGTCTCTTTTTTGAAACTATTGAAAGAAGGTCTTATATTTGTCTAAACCTTTTAAATTAGTAATATTTATGACCTAAATCAAACATGTTTTTTCCCTCATTCAAATTGCTCCAGATTATCACAGTATCAAATTTCTCACGGTCACTATTCAAATAGAAAAGCACTTGTCATATGTCAAAATGAGCATTCTCTTATTCACAATGATCTCCTTATTCTAATTCTAATAAAAAAACAGATCACCAACTTAAACATATGTTTTCTTCTGGTTGTGTTATTTTAGTACTTAGAGACATATCCTTGTTTCACAGGGATTCAGGAAATATCTTTTGAGTATATATGGCACGGGATTGAAAAGTGTTGAATGCATACAACTTTTAACCCTCTAACCTGAACTCAATATGCCTAATAAAGCACTATCCTGACATCCTATATGAAAATGAGTTGATAACTTTTCAAGCACATGAGGAAAAAACTCATTATTCTAATAAAAAAGCATTTAACATAAGTCGAAATGAGCATTCTATAATTCACAATGATCGGGCTCTTAAAAAGGTCAACCCTTTTGATTAATTATTTCACGGGAATTTAACCCAACTGTGCCTCTTAAAACTTGCATGCGTGCACATGGAAGTGTCTTGTTGTGAAGCAGAAAAATAAAATCAACGGGTGAACAGTTGTCCAGACAATCAACGATAAAAATACCGTTGCCCAAAGCCAAAAGGCTAAACTCCAATTTTATTCCTAGATGAGCCAGAATGAATCGTAACAAGGGGTTTAAATACCCATCTACTAACTCTTAAACTAGGAAACAAAATCCTAGAGATCCTAATCAACTCCAACTAGGAAACAGAATAATAGAGATCCTAATTAACTCCTAATAGGAAAGAAATCAGGATAATTAAAAAGAATAAATATTAATTAAGCATCCCGCAACCATCCCACAAAGGTGGGCTCAAGCCCGTCTCCGCCTTCAGTAAACCCACGGAGGCTTCTGCCCCTGTTCTTCCAAGCCCAGATTTTGCTTCATATCATGTCTCTCCATCTCTGCCTGCTATTCTTGTTTTAAAACTTGAATGCATGTACAGTTGTCCTATGCTATGTATAGCAAGTTAGCAACCAACAAACACTTCTTTAAACTCTAGAGAGTATATAATAAGACATTCAAATTAAATCATTCTCAAATAGAAAACGTGTATTAGCAGAGTTTACTAATTTATAAAAGTAAATTGCAGGTACTTACTTCAGAGAAGCGGAAACAGTGAACATCATTCTTGGAAGAAAAGAGATTTAATCGGATTCAGGGAAATGGCGTTCCACTGGCGTGAATAGCATACAACTAAAGAAAAGTGAAAAGAAAACTAATAAAAAATATATTAATTATGTAAGTTAAAGGAAAGAATTAATAAGAGTTGGAACGAAGTTATAACCTGATATGAAGTATAAATAGAAGAGCATTCAAACGCCTTATAATCGCAATCTGTGGAACACCATTTCTTGCCTAGTGAATAGCTCGTTGAACACCACTCTGTTACAGGGCGATCCACCTATATCATCATCATAAAAATAGAACTAATTTACAGAAAAAGTTGAAAGGAAAGAGATGAGAATGTAAATGAAAATACATTGTTGAAAAAATGCAGAATTTAAAAGCATGAAATGAATGCTTTTACGATAGCATTTCGCAACTGAGAAAAGGGCGTTGGCATGGTAAGTCCAGACATCGAGATCGTCTCCAACGGAGAAAAAGCGCTACAGCAATTGGAAAATGATAATCCCGATAATCAGCTCAAATCAAATGATTTATGACTGTTGTTTTACTGACCTTTGCTTGCTGCGAGAGCAAGGAGGCATCTCTGCTTCTTTGAAACCTTATTCTTCTTCTTCTTTGTTTTATGGTCTTCAATGATGAATTTCTGCTTCGCACGATGTTCTCCATCGTTGTTTTTCTTGAACAATCAAATAAAAAATGTTTGATAAGGATTGGAAATGATTCTGATCAATTGTGTAAGTTTCTGCTTCACACGGTTGGGATGATTCCGATGAAGGTGAGGGTAGATAAGGGTTTAGTTGAAGCGGAATGTTTGATTAGGGATAGAAAAACAATGATTTCTCATGGAGGTTGAAGTGAATCCAAGAGACCAGGACGATGAGATGTTGTTTAATGGACGGGCTGTTGAGATGGACGGTTGAGATGCAGAATAATGTTAGGCAAGAGATTGAGACAACAGTAAAAAGTAGGATTGCTTTTATGTATTTATAGATTTTTATTTAAATAATTCAAACTATCTGTTATCCCAAACAAACCCAACTTTTGAATAAAATTTTCAAAATGACCATGTGAGTATGTGACTGAAAATAACCCATGGTCGAAAGTAACAGTAGAATTTATTTATGTTCGAGTAAAGGGTCAGTTTGGTCCTCAAAGTTGGCATAAAAGGGGTCAAATAAGTCCTTATATAGAAGATTATGTCCGTATGTGCCATTTGAGGCGGTTTCCGGTGGAATTTTTTGATAAATTTTTTTAACATCTTATTCATTAAGTGTAGTTTACTCATACCAAATCTCAGCTAAACATTCAATCGGGAAGGCATTCAAATGAATTTTTGATGATAACTGCGTCTTTAACTGCACAGTTATCTTCAAGAATTCATTTGAATGTCTTCGCGATTGAATTTTTATCTGAACTTTGGTATGAGTGAACTAGACTTGCTGAATAAGATGCTCAAAAAAATTCATCAAAAAATTCCACCGGGAACCGCCCAAATGGCGACGGACGAATAGAACCTTCTATATAAGGACTTATTTGACCCCTTTTATGCAACTTCAGGGACCAAATTGACCCTTTACTCATTTATGCTCTATTCTTGTTTGGAATTTGTTCTACTCCCTTCTAACAACTGCAATACTTCAAGATGACAACAGTATGCAAGATTTGGTCACAGAGAAGGAAACATGTGCTTTGGTTGTTCATTTTTTTATTGCTACAACGTACACCTAGGAATATACATTCATCCCAAATTAAAAAACAAAAAACAAATCTCATCTTTCAAATTCTGATTTTTTTCTTATGAAGATTTAATAGGTCTCTTTTTCTTTTGCACCAGAACTACAAATTTGTATCGCCTGTTAAAATTTAGGTCTCGACAACAAATAGTGAACTCATTTTCCTTGCACCTAGACGCATGCGTTCTTGACTATCTAATCTAAACAAGATAAAACTACGCTTGTAATTAAGACATGAATAAATAACTACATGTAACCAAAGTTTGTGCAATGGAATACATTTTTAAGAACATTATTGTGATCAATTGTATATAACAAATGCTTATATAATAATTATATTTACTCATCTAACTAACCATTATGTCCGGCCTATTCGGGGTGCAAGACATTTTCAGCAAGATTTTGCACCATTACAGCTTTGAATGCCTGGACATCATAATTAGGAAAGTCTCCGAGTCCGTTGATTCCAAATTTCTTCCAAATCAGGCCTTCTGGTCCAAACTTATCAAACAGTACCCAAACAGAACATGTCTCACCCGTGCGAGTTAAAACCACTATTTCCCCGGTGGGAATTGTTGTAAGAGTGCAAAAAGTTTTACTTCCGGCCACCTGAAACGGCCCATGCAGCTCAAATGGAAGAAGGAAATTGTGTTTCTTCCAGCACGCGGCCAAGTTCGCCACCATATCCAAACTCCAGGTAATAAGCATGTTTTGAAAGATACGAATGACAGTAAACCGTCCGTCCAATTCTACAAAAGAGGATTTTGCCATATCACCTTGTTCCATAGCTTCCATTACACTTTTGGCCTGAGGGAGAGCAATCAGGCGGAAAGTCTCCGATCTGAGATCGAATGCCACAATGGGAAAGTCACGGACTGCTGCTTTCGTCCGCCTCCCATTGTAGAAATAGAGAACACCATTTATGCAAACACTAGTGTTGTAATGGCAACCAGGGTAAAATTGCGCAGAGGAGTTGATCTCCCGCCAGGTTGCATCCACGCCCAGTGTCAACACCCAGTGCTTGACGGTAGGGTCACCAAATTCCGATTTCAAAACTTTGTATGTTGCGGAGGAGCTGTCGAATCCCAAGAGCACGAAAGCATTGGTCTGATAAACGGCCCAATCCGGAGTTGTTGTCAGGAGGGCAGTCTGTTGTCCGGATCTGAGGTTGCAAATCACCCCTTTTCCTCCATCAAGGCAGTCGGAGAGACATATCAGATCTCCCGCGGAAGACCCGTATCGGAATTCGCTGAAGTTGCCAACTTTGTCCATGTGCCTAACACGTTTTGCTTCAAGGGGCTGATTTCCTTGGTGAGATTTGTAATTTATGGTGTAAAACTCCTCCGGCGGGGAACAGTACTTGAACCACGCGGATTTGTCCGTGAAGTCATCAGATTTAGGAGTATCAACCGGAGCTGAAATAGAGAAGAGTATGGTTGTGCCGCGGTCAGACGCCGTGGACCAATTCCGGTGAAACTCGACGAAACTTGGACCAGTGATTATGGAACGGAAGGATTTGGAAACGCAGCATAGCTTCCCTCGAGATTTGGCACCAAGTCGAATAAGAATTTCGAAAAGGATATCTTGGGGAAGAAGAGAAAGCTGGAAGAAGAGATTTGGATTGGGAAAACGAATTCTCTGCCTGGCATGATCGTCTTGTTGGAATAGACGCTCCATATTAAAACGCAGACGGCAGATGCATAGTAGTCGTGGTTTGATTCTATGATATAGGTCGTACTAGCGACATAGGTTGGTTTATTTCAGGATATTTTTAATTTTTTCGTGGCACTTAAATCAGATCACACTAAATTAGACATACTTAAATATTTGTAAAGTACACAATAAAAGATATTTATCAGATTAGACTAGTTTAGACCAGATTAACAAATTTCAGTTCAAGTAAAATCATCCTTCATCATATTCTCAGCCGGATTTAGAACACTAGGTTTGGTAAAATTAGGTTTGATAAAATTTAAATTTAAGGTTCATCTAAATTTTTGTGATATGATTTGAATAAATTTGATTTTTTCTAATCCGATATGATTTTATATGAATCTTTCTAATTTGATTGAAATATTTAATAATGTAATACAACGTATATTTTAATTAATCAAAATAGAAATTTGTACTTTGTAGCATAGTTAATATGATCACCGTGAATAGACATCTTTATCTTTATACGTTGTATAATGGGAAAAGGGGCAAATAAGCCCTCGAACTAATCAAAAAAGTGAAAATAAGCCCTTTTGTAGGAGGTTCCGTCCGGTCATCGTCATTTGGGGAGGTTCACGGTGGAATTTTTTGATGAAATTTTTTTGAGCATCTTATTCACTAAGTCTAGTTTAATCCTACTGAATTTCAGCTAAAAATTCAACCGGGAAGACAGTCAAATGAATTTTTGAAGATAACTGCGCAGTTAAACAACGCAGTATATTTCCGAAAATCATTTGAGTGCCTTCCCGGTTGAATTTTTAGCTGAAATTCGGTATGGCTAAACTAGACTTAATGAAGAAGATGCTAAAAAAAATCACCAAAAAATTCTACCGAGAACCTCCCCAAATGACGATGATCGGACAGAACCTCCTACAAAAGGGCTTATTTGCACTTTTTTGATTAGTTCGAGGGCTTATTTGTCCTTTTTCCCTTATATAATACGTAGTATAAAGTAACAGAGTGTTTGATACACCCTGTTATTTGCCCCTTTTCCCTTATATAATACGTAGTTCGAGGGCGTGTATCATATATTCATATATGAGCTATAAAATACTCGAATGTGGTCAAAAATATGGAATGCATAATATAAAGATCACGATTTTCATGTATAAGGTTCCATAATATCTCACAAGTATGAAGTTAATTTAAGGTTCCTTGAATTTCACAACTATGAAATCACACTTAAAATAAAACTATGAAATCACACGTAATCACACAAAACTGTATAATTCAGTTCGGTCATAATTAAAACAAATATTGCATTAGGAATTTTTGCTGAAATTAAAAGCCCGTTTGATCGTCCTATTTTTAGCTTATCACGCTTATCAGCCAAGTGTTTAGCCAAACACGTCATTTTTTATTTGGTGCGCTACATTGTGTATCATTGGAAAAAATAAAGTTGGAGTTACTTATACGGTTGGTTGTATTGACTGAAGTTATTGAAGAGGATCATTTTAACTATTTTTTCATATATTTATTTCATTTTATTAATACAAAATATTTTAAATATAATTTTCTTATTAATCAACAGAATTAGCCAATCCAACCATTTCGATCATATTTTCATAAATTTCATCAGAATCAGCCGATTAAGCCAAATTCAGTATTACTAAACAACTTTAAATGAATATACGTACCGTCGTACCATAGCTTAATCATTTACATTAGGTTATAAATAATTCTATTAGAAAACTTTTGCTAAAATAATATGTACAACTATTAATTTCTTACCTTATGAAATAATGTGCACATAATGCTTACATAACGTAATTATTTGCTCTACATACCTCTACCAAACGATTACGAGATTGACACAAATATGGTACAAATTGATCGATAATTTTGTGCCAAATAATTCCAGTTTAGCAGAAAACTTTCTCCGATCCATTCCGAAAAAGTTCACTAAAGTGACTTTTCTTGGTGAATGACAATCAATTTTGATCAATTATATTTTTTAATACAAAATTATTTTGAACATCGGAAATTATATCAAAATGTTTCTTATTCAACAAAATCATAAACGTATAAAATTCACGGAGTACAAATTATGTACAAATATAATAATTAAAATTATTGTCCAACGTTTGTCACCATTGATCAAGAAAAGTCAACATCACGAACCTTTTTGGAACGGAGGTAGTCAACCATTTTAGCTAGAAAAGTAATTTCAACCTTATTTATTTTGATTATTCACAATTCAGCGTGTAAAATAAAAAATTATGTATTTGATGAAAAAGTTGGTTAATAAAACCAATAACCTGGAAATGGAGTGACTAAACTTATTGCATTGAACAATTTCAGAATTGCATTGAACAATTTCAAAAACGGCAATAACACAAATTGCATAATAAACTTATTAACCTTCTACTGAATTTGGTCCAAAATATTAATTTCAGCATGTACTGCTTTAAAAAAAATCTAAACTCCAGTTTTTAAGATTGAAAATTCATTTCAAGATTTTAAAATCACACACTTTTTATAAATTAGTGAAAATACATATTCCGTACTAAATATCGGACCAATGAAACACGGCGATAATGCGATATAATGAGTTGATAATATATGTAGATAGAAGTGCAACACACGTATATAATAGTCTTTCAACACAATAATATAATTCCAGAATGATTTTTAGAATTAATTTGAAAATAATTCATAGTTTCAACCCAAGTATATGCAACGCAGAGATGCAGAGATGCAAATAAGGTGTCACCACCACGAAAAGTGTTATTACAAAGATGCATCTGAAAACTTTAATAACACTTTTACACCTTTAAAAATGTTTTTTTATAGAAATTACACATGAATAATAAAGGGAATACTACACTCTGCACTATCACATATTGAATATATTCTTACATCATACTATCCTTCATTTTTTTGATCGCAACATGTTGACTTTTTGCATTGTTCACATGATCTACTTTGACTACATTTTACACTATTATTTTATAGAAATTATTTTTCTACAAAATACTTTTCAATTCATCTCATTACAAATTTTCAAAAACTGATTTTTAATATTTTTATTAATAGAGATTGATCTATGATGGAGTATATGGCCCAGGAACCCCCGGCCCATAGACTCCTATTTCTCCTACACAAGTCCATTGAGCTCAGGAAACAACTCAGGCCCAAATACAACGGCCCAAGCCTCAAAGTAGCCCAGAATACACACTGGGGTGCCTTCGGCCTCCTTGGCCGAAGGCTCCAAAACTCACAGGATAGCCTTCTCTGGCATAAGAAGCTGCTGGGAGAAAGCGGGCGAGGACATGAGCCTTCGGCATTCTCATGCCATCGGCACCAGGGGAAGCCTTCGGCTGAACCAAGCCTTCGGCTACGCAAGAAGCCTTCGGCTACACAAGGAGCCCTCGGCTACACAAGGAGCCTTCGGCTGAACAAGGAGCCTTCGGCTGAACAAGCTCAATCATCGAAGATTCCTTTTAGAGACAGCCAACCACCGCATTTAATGCCACGTCGCATCCGCCAACCGCATTCAATGCGGTTGACGTACCACTGCCGGTGCCACCAGGCTGATGTGACCCTTCGGCCGTTGGATTACTGACACGTGTCCTCTCATCGCATTTATTGCTGCTATAAATAGCAGCCCATTTCTCCTTGTAAAACATCATCTACATCTCAACTCCACACGCTGAGTTCATTTAATAAAATCGACTCTCTCTCCTCCTATTTGCTCTGACTTCTCTCTAAGTTATTCCCACAATAACCCCTCGGATAAGATACCCCCCGGGTAGACTGTCCATCATTTGGTGCTCTCGTTGAGAGGTCTGAACTATCAAGTAAGAAACCCTCCCCCTCTACCAAACACAAAACACTCACCAAAAATGGGAAGAACCACCCGCGCCCAATCCAAAACCCTAGAGGAGAACCACGTAGCTCCCGGCGAAACTAACGGGGCTGAGGCCTCCAACAGGCTCTTAGTACCCGAGGGTGGTATCATCCTCGAATTGGAGCAGGCTACCGCTGACCTCCGTCAGCAGCTACAGAAGAACGCCCCCGATGCCCGCATTGGCCTTGATAATCGAAGGAGGGATCGGAGTGAGAACCAAGTTCCCCCTCCGGCCCCGGCCATCGATCTTCAGGCTGCCTTTGCGGCCTTTGTTCAAAACATGGCTCTCAATTCCGGGGCCCTCGCCTCTCAGACACCCCTCCAGCCCTACGCTGGAGGAAATGTTATTCAATTGCCACCACTCCCCCCTCCGTTCAACAATCCTCCCCCGGGGATTGGCAACCGCGAGGGGGTCGTAGCGCAGGATACCGCTTCCCAGGAGGCCCAATCCAGGGACAAGCGCCTCATGATGAAGGAGAAACCCCGGACCTCTGCACTTGAGAGGCTTGGGGGAGCTCCCGGACGCCGAGGGGTCCAAGACCGCCTCGGCAAGCAGGAATTCAGCAGGCCCCAGGAGAGTGGTGCCTCCGCTTCGGGTGCCGAGGGCGTGCCTCCCCCCCGAAGCAAAGGCAAAGCCGTCCTCCATGCCGAAGACGCTAGGCACCAAATCACACAGGCGCAATCCTTCCGGGCCAACTCCCAAGGGGTTGCCCCGAAGGATCCCAAGGACGAGATCATTGAAGCCCTCCTCCGTCAACTCGAGGAGAATCGTCAGGCACCCCCGACGGCTTCCACAGCGAGGCCAGATCCAGAGTACGCTGACCTCCGGGCGCAAGTGGAGGAAATGAAGCGTAAGCTCGCCGAAGGCTCAGGCGAGCCCCTCATTCAACTCCGCACCAGAACACCCTTCACCGCAAGGGTGTTGGCGGCCAAAATCCCCCACAAATATCGGGGGCAACCCATCAAACCGTATGAGGGGAAGACGGATCCCCAAGAACACTACAGCCGCTATCAAAATAGCATGATGATGATGGGGGCCTCGGATGAATACTTATGCCGTTGGTTCCTTTCCACCTTGGAGGGACCCGCGTATGAGTGGTTCAACCGGTTGCCCGAGGGCAGCATTGATTCTTGGCAAGAACTTGCCCACCGCTTCCTCACACAATTTGCTGGGAGGCATCGCTCAAAGAAGCACTTCTCCCACCTTCTAAACGTGAG